GTTGCGGTGCCGCCGGTCTGGCCTCGCCTCCCTTCCCCGCCTCCGTCGTCGCCCCTATGCCTCCGGTCTGGCCCCGTCATCACCCGGTGCCGCGCCCGGTGCTTCCCTTGGACGAGGAGTTCGACCCGTCGGAGCTCTGCATCGTGCGTCGCTCACAATCCATGGAGGGGCTCGAAGGCCGGCTGCAGCTATCCATGGTGGCTTACGCGGCGGGTGCAAGGAAGGATATCTCGCCGGAGTTCATTCTCGAGGTGCTGCAGGTCAAGGTGGGCATTGAGCCGCAGTGGGTGTCTGTGCATCGCTACCGGCCGGAGGATTTTCTCATTGTCTTCGCGCGCCCGGAGCACAGGAACAGGCTCTGCGCTATGCCGGTGGTGGATCATCGTGGGGTCAGATTGTTCTTTCGTCAGTGGAATCGGCAAACCCAAGCTGTGCATTCGGTGTTCAGATCCAAGGTGTTGATTGAGTTGGAGGGCATCCCGCCGCACGCGTGGGAGCTGGAGGTGGTGGAGCGGATCCTAGGATCGTCCTGCCTGGTGGATGCGATGGCGCCGGAGACGAGCTCTCGCGCGGACCTTTCCTCCTTCAAGGTCACGGCGTGGACGGCCGACCCGGAGGCGATCCCGACGCTCCGGTGGCTGGGGGTGCCCGAACCTGGCCTAGGGGTGCGGCCCTCCCAGCCGGCGCTGCTGCAGTACAAAGTCCTCGTTCATCTCGTGCAAGTTCAGGATTTCGCGGAGGCGGAGGAGCCATGGTTTCTTGGGGGCGGGTCTTCTAGCAGTGGCCAGAGCGGTTTGCTGGATTCTGAGGGCAGCATGGATGGGGGTGGTGGAGCCGTCGCTCGCCGCAGGTCTTGGCAGTTCGGTGTTCGGGACTCACGAGGTGGTACGAGCTCGGGGCGTGGCGGCTCCGGAGCAAGCGCTGCCGGCAACGACCGTGGTCCGGCAATGGCGGCCACGGAGTGGAAGCTACCCGCCATGGAGGATTCGCCGGTGGTGGTCCCGGTGCGCCAGCTGGGCCACGTAAGCGATAGGATTGCGGTCAGGACCTTAGCTTTTGACCGTTTGACTGTGCGGGCTCCCTCTGGGCAGGCTCAGGATCAGGATCAGGTTCAGGATCAGACAGGCGCAGCTCGCTCGGGGCCCAGAGAACTTTCGCCAAACGCTTTGGCAGTGGATCGTGGCCCTGCGCATGTGGGCATTTCGGCTGTGGAGGAGGTAGGGGGCCAACGGCAACAGCTGGCTTCAATTGTGGTGGTACCCGAGGTGACCCAGAACTTGGCCCCCGCCTCGGATCCCAAAGACGCGGTGGTGGGAGCTAGCATGATTCAAATCCCTATCCAGGCTAATGCGACCATCACTGGGGTTGAGGAGCAGGAGCCAATCCAGTGCACTCCACAGTCGCAGGAGGGCCCGGCCGCAGTGCTGGCAGATTCGGTTGGGGACAAGACGGAGGTGGGCATAGCAGTTCGAGTGGACGGGCCTCCGACCCTACACCGCTGGGGACGGGTTTCGAGACAGTACGGTGCCAGGAGTCGCATGCCGACAAGCACATGCTACTTGATGCCGCCACGGATAAGGACAAGGACGAGGAAAGGGACCCTTTGGTGCATGCCCCCTCTGCATACACCGGTCCGCATCCATGCATGGTGGGACATGACACGTTCGGCAATGATTGCCAGCTTACATCTGCGGGAGGCGCAGACCCACCTGCTGGCTCATCGGGATGCGAGGTGGAGACGGATTCACTCCCATTGGCGCATGCCCATGCACGCCTGGAGATGCGGGGCATGGTTGTCATATCACCCATGCATGGTGATGGTTCCCACCATGCAAACACACATGGAGTGCAAGTTGAAGCTCAGGTCGCTACGAATGTGGTTCTGCAGTCCGCGGTGCATTTGGAGCAGGACTCCTCGGCTGCCAAGGGAGTTTTGCAGCAGGAGGAGGTTGCCTACGGACGGATGAAGATATTCTGCTCTAACATTATCAAGAGGTTAGCACCACCCATCCTTAAGGAAGTTCATGCATCATCCCTTCGACTGGAGGCGGAGCCCTTCACCCCCCGTCCCACGACCAGAGCTGCCAAGAGGGCCGGGATGCATGCTACATCAAAGGCGACGCCGGCGGAGAATGTACTGTTGAGGGCACTTGGCTTGGTTCTGGAGGACCTGGAGCCAGATGAGGCGGTTGTGGAGGAGCTCAAGGAGTTGTTTGACTCACCACTCCGTGAGCAACATGTACGTGTGATTGCTGCGATCTTCGGCAAGATGTTACCACCACGGCCCGAGCTTGAGGGAGGCAACACGTTGGCATTGGCCGCGTAGTCTTGTCTAGTAGGGCAGCTGGAGTCTCCACATGTTGCTGAATGGATCCAAGCCCTTCGATTACATGTTGGAACGTGCGAGGCCTAAATAACCCAGCGAAGAAGAAGGCGGTCAGGGAGTTCATCTCATCGGTCAAGTGTAATATGGTGTGTCTCCAGGAGACGAAACTAGATGTCGTAGACCAATTTACTATCATGCAATGTATCGGACCATCATATGATGGCTTTGCTTACCTTCCGGCGACTAACACCCGTGGGGGTGTGGTCTTGGCGTGGGATTCAACCGTGGTGCAGGTTGATCATGTTGTGTTGGATACACACGCTCTAACCGGTCAGGTGCATAACCTTGACGGAAGCTTATGGTGGATCACAGTAGTATATGCTCCGCAAGAAGACGATCAGAAGCTAGAGTTTTTGCAGGAACTGCCGCATCAAAGCACGGCATGCCCCGGTCCCTGGATGCCTCTGGGAGACTTTAACATGATTCTCAAGGCCTCGGAGAAGAATAACTCTAACATTAACCGGTGCACCATGAACTACTTCAGAGCTTTCGTGGATGATTTAGAACTGAAAGAACTGTACATGCATGGGAGGCGCTTCACGTGGTCTAATGAGAGGGACAACCCTACTCTTACCAAAATCGATCATGTCCTAGTCTCTGTGGATTGGGACCTTGCGAACCCGGACTGCTTTCTCCAGGTGCTGGGGACAAACGTCTCGGACCACGCCCCACTTCACTTATGTATGCAGGCCATGTGCACCCCCAAGCGGAGGTTTAGATTCGAAATGTACTGGACTAAGCTGGAAGGGTTTGAGGATGCTGTCCGAGAGGCCTGGGTGTGTGATGAGGCCATCATGGATCCTTTCAAAAGACTTGATGCCCTATTTCGGAACACGGCCATGTCTCTGCAATCGTGGGGGCAGAG